AGAATTTCGTTCAGGATTGATGTAAATCTTTCATAAAGCTTTGGATCGTTAAGGTTTATCCTGTTTTCAAAAATATCATTAATATTAATAAAACGATCGATGTAAGACCAAACTGAATCTGTTTTATTTATTTGATATTGTTCATTTTGCTTCTCTAGTTTACGATAATGTCTTTTCTCTTCTTTAGATAATTTCCTATATTCTTTGCTAGTTAGTTTTTTAAACATTGCTCGAATTCTGTGGTTTTGCTTCAGTAGTTTTATTTTCGACCATATTTGTTATAACTTTCAACTTAGCCTTGTAATATTTTTTATATTCGATTGCACGGTTCAGAACAGATTTATCTTCACGATTTCCAGAAAAATATCTTTTGTGAACAATCTTGTTTCTGTATATTTCAAAAACCATCTCTTTCTAAATGTGTCGTAGTAGATATTTTCTATTCCTGATTTAGAATTTTTCATTATTATTTTTGTAACTAAAAAATTAGTTTTAGAAGAGAGGATTCGGAGTATTTATATAGTTTGTTTTGATATGCAGTAAATTATTGCTGTGGTACGTGATGTTAAACAAATTTAAATTTCCTTTTTAAGAATAACATTTAATTACTGCGGTTATTAAAAAAAATATATATATAAGAGTAGTAGCACAAAATAAATACATAACAAAAAAAAAAAAAAAAAAAAACAATGACAAAAATTTTAAGGAAAATACAGTTTAGACATTTCATATTTACGATTTTTACAGATGATTTACAAAAATATAAAGAATTAATAACTGAAAATGTTGACAAAAAAATTATTCAATATATAGTTTTTCAATATGAATATACTAAAACAAGTAAAAAACATATTCAAGGATTTGGTATGTTGTGGACGCAATTGAGATTGGGAAATTATAAATATGGTAAAAAAACTTCAACAATTAAAAGTATTTTTCAAAACGAAGAAATGCATGTTGATTATCATAATAGAACATTTGACGATGCAATTAGATATTGTAAGAAAGATAGAAATCAATGTTCAAAACATCATCCTTATTGCAGATGTGATTTTTTTGATTTAACAAAAATATGTGATAAATGTAACGAAAATTGTTTGGAATTTCGAACGTTTGCACGCATTGATGATAATTCCGGACCCTTTGAATTTGGAGAATTGCCAATGAGTCATAATGCTGAAGGTTTTAATCAACATTTAGAAGAACAAAAAAAAATATGTAAACAAACAATTGAAGATATCAAAGAACAAATCAAACCGATAAATGAAATTGTTATAGATGCTTTTGTTAATTCAGGAACAGCACCGCATATTATCAAAAAAACTTTACAACACGATTCGTGATAGTTAAAAGAAATCGTTCAAGAGATGTTTTACTCCATGCAACATCTATATTTATGGTGACTCGAGAACTGGAAAGGATTACTTGACACAAATACTTTTTCCTGACGCATATCATAAGTCGCAAAATGACGGAATATGGTTCAAAGGATATGACGAAAACAAAGTTTTCGTGTTTGATGATTTTTATTGTCACAATATGGAGTTCTCGACTCTGTTGATATTAATCGATAATAAACCACATACTGTGCAGAAAAAAGGCAGGCATCTGAACTTTTGTTCATTTGTAAATATATTCACATCAAATACATCTTTGCGAAATCAATATGTCTATTTCGAAGATACCCCATATTTTGGAAATGAGACTGTTAAAATAAAAAACAAAAGAAAATATTCTTCAATTTATAATCGATTTGACTATATTATTGAATACAAAAAGTTTAGAAATGATGATGTATGCTCTTGTGTATTTGAGTGTCTTTGTTGTTCAGTAAAAAGAATTTTTCATAAGGGCACATATGAAAATTTTGGCAATCTTCGATTTGGCATCGAATTCAATTCCGATGTTACTTTTGAACAAATTGCTTATATAATCGGGGATCATAATACAATTGAAGAAAGTAATGGAATTTGATACTATAACCATAATTTTAATTCACAAATTGCCAAATTTGAATTAATAAACTATAGAATTGAGAATGATAAACATGTTGATACGATTGTATATCCTGAAGTAAGAAGAAAATTAGAAAATAGATCACATAGAACTAAAAGAAAAAAAATACAATTTAAAGGTTATAAAGAAGGAAAAATTGATTATATAATTGAAGATTTAAATAATGACGAAAAATACGATTCAGATACATCAATATCTTCATTGTCTTCTAACGATTCTGAAACAACAAGACGTAGAAAAAAAAGAAAAACTGTTTTGTAAAGAATTTAAAAATAAATAAAAATATACTAAAAAGTAATTGGATATCTATTTCTATTTCCAAAGATTTACAATTTAAATTTAATTTGTTAACAAAAAATTAAGAGCTTTATTGAATTTTGGTTTATACAGAACTATTACATCATCAGTTGTTTTAAGAACTTCTAAAATAAAAATACATTTACGTTTACAATATTTAAATGCTGCTCTAGTGATTCCCGCATTTCCTGCAACGAATCTGATATCATTTTTCACCTGGACACCTTCGAGATCATCTTCAACAACCTTTTTAACATGCTTCAACTGAATTTTCTTCTTCAGTTTCAAGATACGACCAACACAAGAGTGATCGTGTTGGCTTAAAGGATTTGATTTACCAAAGACATGATAATATTCAGAGAACAAAAACTGCAAGTCGGAATCATTCTTATCAATATCTGAATGACCTTTCAACTTCTTGTAAACTTTCTTTGTAGTTTGGAAGACATTCATTTCACGTCTTCTGTAATCAATAGAATCGATTTCCTCTTTGAATTTTCTTTTTCGTTTTGAATTAAAATTTCTAAAAACTTCGAAATGAATTTCTTCCTGAATGAATAAATAAAATAAAAGTTAGATTCAAATAAACCAAGTGAATAATTTCATACTTGTTACTGACTAAACATTGAAATATTATCGTTGACAGTTGCTTATTCATATATCAAATAATTGATATATCTTCAGTGAAGAATTACTTTGTACTCACATTCTCGTCTTCTGAATAAATTTCTTCCTCCTTAAAATATAAAAAATATTAGACCTGATGAATCTAAATAAATAATTTCATACTCGTTACTGGCTAAACATTGAAAATATTATCATCGCCAGTCACTTATTTATATATCAAATAATTGATACATCTTCAGTGGAGAATTACTGAGTATTTACGTTTTTATGTTCTGAATAAATTTCTTCCTCATCTTCAAATAAAGTATCAAAAATTTCTTGTTGATTATTCGGAATTCTTCCTGAATTTGTACGGTAGATTTGAGACATTTAGTTTTTTTTTTAATTATTATACTTTCTTAACAATTTATAAAAAAAGAATACGACCCATTGATGCAGCCACCGCTTCTAGTAAGATAATGTCCTCCACTTTTAGTGGACCATTTCTAGAAGAGAATGATGTAAGTGGACAGGTGGATAAGTCTATTTACGCGGAGGACCAAGTTATTAGTCAGACTCAACGTACAGAGCAGATTTTGGATACCTGCGCAGCTGTGAGAACC